TATAGTAAAAGCTGTGTTATCCAGCATATTGTGGGAATGAGTGGTGCTGGTAACTTTAAAAATTCCGGTTAACTAAGAGGGAGGAAGTTTGGGTGCAGGAGGGGGCACAGGGCAGGAAGAGGTGTGGTGTGCAAGCTCTAGGAGGGAGTTTAGATGCGGAAGGGGGCTCGGGGCAGGGGTGTGGGAACGTTGTGGGGTGCCAGATCTGGATGGTGCTCAGTTTGGGCAGCTCCCCAGAAGCAGTGACCTATCACTGCTGGTTCTAGGTGGAGGTGCAGCTAAGCTACTATGCGTGCTCCCTCCGCCCGCGGGTGCCATCCCGCAGCTTCCATTGGCCGAGGCAGTGCTCGGGGCGGAAGCAGTGCACGGAGCCGCACCTCCCCCTGGTTGGTATAGCTAATATCTTTGAGGAAATGGTTAAAATATGCTAGGAGACAAATGCTGAGTCTCCACTAGGGGACTAGGCCAGCATAGTTACACTGGCAAAGCATTTGTAGTATAGACAAATCCCTAAATGAGTATGACAGGTTTCAGAGTAACAGCCGTGTTAGTCTGTATTCGCAAAAAGAAAAGGAGTACTTGTGGCACCTTAGAGACTAACCAATTTATTTGAGCATGAGCTTTCGTGAGCTACAGCTCACTTCATCGGATGCATACCGTGGAAACTGCAGCAGACTTTATATATACACAGAGAATATGAAACAATACCTCCTCCCACCCCACTGTCCTGCTGGTATTAGCTTATCTAAAGTGATCATCAGGTTGGGCCATTTCCAGCACAAATCCAGGTTTTCTCACCCTCCACCCCCCCACACAAATTCACTCTCCTGCTGGTGATAGCCCATCCAAAGTGACAACTCTTTACACAATGTGCATGATAATCAAGTTGGGCCATTTCCAGCACAAATCCAGGTTTTCTCACATCCCCCCCACCCCCATACACACACAAACTCACTCTCCTGCTGGTAATAGCTCATCCAAACTGACCACTCTCCAAGTTTAAATCCAAGTTAAACCAGAACATCTGGGGGGGGGGGGGGGGGGGGAAGGGTAGGAAAAAACAAGAGGAAATAGGCTACCTTGCATAATGACATAGCCACTCCCAGTCTCTATTTAAGCCTAAATTAATAGTATCCAATTTGCAAATGAATTCCAATTCAGCAGTTTCTCGCTGGAGTCTGGATTTGAAGTTTTTTTGTTTTAAGATAGCGACCTTCATGTCTGTGATTGCGTGACCAGAGAGATTGAAGTGTTCTCCGACTGGTTTATGAATGTTATAATTCTTGACATCTGATTTGTGTCCATTTATTCTTTTACGTAGAGACTGTCCAGTTTGACCAATGTACATGGCAGAGGGGCATTGCTGGCACATGATGGCATATATCACATTGGTGGATATGCAGGTGAACGAGCCTCTGATAGTGTGGCTGATGTTATTAGGCCCTGTGATGGTGTCCCCTGAATAGATATGTGGGCACAATTGGCAACAGGCTTTGTTGCAAGGATAAGTTCCTGGGTTAGTGGTTCTGTTGTGTGGTATGTGGTTGTTGGTGAGTATTTGCTTTAGGTTGCGGGGCTGTCTGTAGGCAAGGACTGGCCTGTCTCCCAAGATTTGTGAGAGTGTTGGGTCATCCTTTAGGATAGGTTGTAGATCCTTAATAATGCGTTGGAGGGGTTTTAGTTGGGGGCTGAAGGTGACGGCTAGTGGCGTTCTGTTATTTTCTTTGTTAGGCCTGTCCTGTAGTAGGTAACTTCTGGGAACTCTTCTGGCTCTATCAATCTGTTTCTTTACTTCTGCAGGTGGGTATTGTAGTTGTAAGAAAGCTTGACAGAGATCTTGTAGGTGTTTGTCTCTGTCTGAGGGGTTGGAGCAAATGCGGTTGTATCGCAGAGCTTGGCTGTAGACGATGGATCGTGTGGTGTGGTCAGGGTGAAAGCTGGAGGCATGCAGGTAGGAATAGTGGTCAGTAGGTTTCCGGTATAGGGTGGTGTTTATGTCAGCCACACTATCAGAGGCTCGTTCACCTGCACATCCACCAATGTGATATATGCCATCATGTGCCAGCAATGCCCCTCTGCCATGTACATTGGTCAAACTGGACAGTCTCTACGTAAAAGAATAAATGGACACAAATCAGATGTCAAGAATTATAACATTCATAAACCAGTCGGAGAACACTTCAATCTCTCTGGTCACGCAATCACAGACATGAAGGTCGCTATCTTAAAACAAAAAAACTTCAAATCCAGACTCCAGCGAGAAACTGCTGAATTGGAATTCATTTGCAAATTGGATACTATTAATTTAGGCTTAAATAGAGACTGGGAGTGGCTTAGTCATTATGCAAGGTAGCCTATTTCCTCTTGTTTTTTCCTACCCCCCCCCCCAGATGTTCTAGTTTAACTTGGATTTAAACTTGGAGAGTGGTCAGTTTGGATGAGCTATTACCAGCAGGAGAGTGAGTTTGTGTGTGTATGGGGGTGGAGGGGATGTGAGAAAACCTGGCTTTGTGCTGGAAATGGCCCACCTTGATTATCATGCACATTGTAGGGAGAATGGTCACTTTGGATGAGCTATTACCAGCAGGATAGTGAGTTTGTGTGTGTGGTTTTTGGGAGGGGGGTGAGGGGGTGAGAAAACCTGGATTTGTGCAGGAAATGGCCCAACTTGATTATCATGCACATTGTGTAAAGAGTTGTCACTTTGGATGGGCTATCACCAGCAGGAGAGTGAATTTGTGTGGGGGGGGTAGAGGGTGAGAAAACCTGGATTTGTGCTGGAAATGGCCCAACCTGATGATCACTTTAGATAAGCTATTACCAGCAGGACAGTGGGGTGGGAGGAGGTATTGTTTCATATTCTCTGTGTATATATAAAGTCTGCTGCAGTTTCCACGGTATGCATCCGATGAAGTGAGCTGTAGCTCACGAAAGCTCATGCTCAAATAAATTGGTTAGTCTCTAAGGTGTCACAAGTACTCCTTTTCTTTTTGTAAATGAGTGTGAGTGACAGACAGACAAGGTGTGTTAATCTTCTAAGTGAGGGCTCTTTTCATTGAGATGAGATAAGGAGGGGACAGTGTGGACTAAGACATGGTCTACACTTAAAAGTTAGGTTGACATAGCTCTGGAACTCAGGGGTTTGAAAAAATCAGCTCCCTGAGCACTGTAACTATGCCGACCTAATCCTTAGCGTAGATGTGTCTAAACTGACTCAAGAGTCCTTCCATTGACCTAATTATTGCTGCTCAGAATGTGAATTACCTACAGCAATGTAAAAAACCCCTTCCATTAGTGTAGCACCATAGCTGGGTTGCTGTAGTGCCTATGGTGTAGATATGGCCTAAGCTACCCATATTTTACTTCTTGCACCTACGTGGCTTACTAGTAAAGCAGTGTAAGCAATAGTCTTCCTAACTCAATAGTCTTTCAAGTTGAGTCGCCAGAAAAATAAATCAACCACATACAATAAAAGACTGCTTCATTTTAATTTATAATTTAAAAAGAAATTTTTGGCATTTTTCTACTGAACAAATACCTGTGTTTGCCCTGTGGATTTTGTGTGTGAGCTTGAATGCAAAAATACTTGCCATTCTGGACTAGTGCAAATTTTAGTAACAAACATCCCTGAGTTTTGGCTTTCAGGTAAAAAAGCATTTTAGTTCATATTTAATAATTAGGAATACCTACTACCACTGAAAAAATAAAGGTGTGGAAAAAAAATTTAATGTATTTACAGCCAAAGAGAGGCACCTGGGGAATGACACTTGATGCCATAAAAGATATTATGAGGCACTATCAATTTAAATGTCACATTATAATTAGAGATAAGGTGAATGAGGTAATTTTTTTTTTTGGACTGACTTCTCTTGGTGAAAGAGACAAGTTCTTGAGCTTACACAGAGCTCTTTTTCAGGTCTGGGAAAGGTATTCAGAGTGTCTCAGAAAAATACAAGGGTGGAACAGATATGTGTATAAGAGTTAACACACGTTACAATCATTCCTGATGACACTGATAGTAAACACCTCTGTAGTCATAGGACTAAAGGAGGGTTAGATTGTTCTAATAAGCTACAAAGCCAGTGTCTTTTTTTTTTTTAAATCCATGATTTTTAGTGTCTAGCACAGTTATTAATTTAAATTCCCAGGCTTATCTTTTAAAGGTGTTGTGCATGTGTCCACTGAGAACAAGGACTAAGGGGTCACACAGGGAGCTATTGTTTTATTAAAAGTGTTTGCTCACTGGGTGTTAGTCATAAAATGATGAAAGACATTATAAAGTTACTTAACTTTTAACAATAAGCTGAATTTATCAAAAATTAATTAAAATCCCCCCAATCTACTTTTCACTAATGGCCTGATCCTGCAAAGATTTGCACATAGAATATACCTACACTACAGAGTCTCCACCAGCATATGGTATAGCATAGATGCAGACCTATGTTTGTTTGCCTACATATAAATGCTAAAATAGAATAAAGTCAGGTCTGATTAACTCCAGTTGTGGACTACAATAATACATATTAAATAACAAAGCGAATTAAACTAATGCAGAATAACGCAGCCTACGTCCAGAACCAGCGCAGCCACTCATGGAGTTAACCCGGAGTAACTCTGGGCCAGTGCGGATAAACACACCTGCCCAGGATGTCTGGTCAGTTTCACTGTGGTGGGCACGACGGCAGCGCCCAGCTCTCACACGCGGCTGGCAAACAGCGTGCCCCGGCCTCGAACACTGCCCGGGAACCTTCCCCCGGGCGCGGCTCTGGCGCAATTCCAGGGGGGGGCTGCGCAGCCTCCCCCCGCCCAGCCCCATCTCCTCCCCTCCTTCTCCGCTGGCATGGCGCCTCCAGACCGCGATAACCCGGTACCGCCCCCACCCCCGCACACACAAGGCGGGAACAGTGACCCTACCTGGCCTTGTGATTGGTTGAGCAGCCCATGGGGACGGTCCCACGATAGGCGCTTGACCCCCCCGACACACACTCACACACGTGACGGGGGCCCTGCGGCCTTACCCGAGCTCCCCCCCGGCCGCCGCCTTTCGCGGCCTCTTAGCGCCACCTGGCGGCCGTCTCCCACATCGCAGCCTCGAGCAGCGGCTTTGCCCAGCCGGCGGCGAAATGGAGGCGGCAGCGGCTGGGAGCGAGGAGTCGGGCGCCGCGGAAGGGCCCGTGGAGACAGCAGCAGGGCGAGAAGATGGCGGCTGCGAGGGCCTGTGGGAGCTGCCGGTGGAGCACTGCGTGAGGCGGGCCGAGTGCGGGCGCTGCCGGTGAGGAGCGGGGCGCGGGGTCAGCCCGAGCCGGGCAGCGGGGCCTGGCGGCTGCGCCCCCTGCTGTTGTGGAGGGGGAAGCGCTGGGACACGGGGCGCTGTCTGCGCGCAGCTCTGCCCGCACCATGCGCGGGCCGCAGCGCGGGGCTCCGCCGGGTCAGCCTTGGGCGCGGCGCGGGACGGGACGTGCCTTCGGGAGCCCCGAGGCGGGTCTTCTCGGGTGTGGCGGGGCGCTGGTCTCCGCCTACTGCTCCTTTGCGGGGGGGCGGAGCCAGGGCGGGGGTTGCAGGTGCAAGTGTCTCTGCTGAGCCACGGGCGGGGGTTGCAGCTCTGCCAATGGCTGACCTTGGCCAGTCACTTCACCTCTCCATGCCTCAGTTTTCTCCTCTCCAAAAAAAAAAAAAAAAGGGGGGGGGGATTTGAGGTGGGTATTGCCTCTGTAAAGCACGGTGAGATGTACAGGTTGTGGGTTTTATACCGCACGCTTCACCTTAGCATCTGCACACATTCCACTGGTGCGGTAAGTGAGGGGGCCGCATTTTTGTTATGTATGTTCCCTTAGCCTTTCCCCTGAGGGAGATGTGTGGATGCAGATGGATGGGCAGGTACAAGGCAACAATAAGACTGTATTAGTCAGCTTTAGAGGCCCAACTCTTATAAGTGCATATAGATAGAGTTGAAATTACAGCAATAGCATTATAACCCCCACCTGCTACAGTCCTGCTGGTAACTCATGAGCCAGAAAGCTCAGTACCGAATGGTACATAAGAACGGTCAGACAAAGGCCCATCTATCCCAGTATCATAGAATATCAGGGTTGGAAGGGACCTCAGGAGGTCATCTAGTCAAACCCCCTGCTCAAAGCAGGGCCAATCCCCAATTTTTGCCCCAGATCCCCAAATGGCCCCTTCAAGGATTGAACTCACAACCCTGGGTTTAGCAGGCCAATGCTCAAACCACTGAGCCATCCCTCCCTGTCTATGGACAGTGGCCAATGCCAGGTGCCCCAAGGGAATGAACAGAAGAGGTAATCATCAAGTGGTACAAAGCACAATATTCTAGCTCCACAACTTGGGTTATAAGTTTATGTACATATTCCTAGGAAAAACTGTTTAGTTGCCTTAAGTAGTCATTTCTACCAACCTATGCTCTCCTGATTTTGATCAGTATACCCAAGTAGTATCCAGCAGATGCTGAACAGCTGTGAGGAGGACCTTAAAGCCCCAATCCTGCATGCACTTATGTGCGTGCTTAATATTCAGTGTATGTAAATGTGCAGGACTGCCCCAAAGCTATTAAGTCCTAAATCGGTGGATCATATAGTACCGTAGTTAAGTCAGAAAATAACCCAGTGTTGGTGAAAAATAACAGGAAATGGCATTTAAAAATAAAAAGACACGGCAGAACTAAGTTTGTGAAGTCTAGACTAGTACAGCGAACCTTAATTCTACTATTTAGTAGTTCTTGCTGTTATCACTTTGTATTGTCCTTGCATTATCGTGTTACTGCTTTCTCAGTGTCCTTTACTTGTATTTCCCTTTAAAGAAACACTGATATTTTATCTTAACTGTTCTTGATAGAACACCCTTGAAATGGTGTGTATCAGTATTTTTAAAAAATCTTTAAAACAGTTTCTTTTTTGTTGTCGTGGTGTGTTTAGAAGGATCTTTTGGGTCAATTCCGGAACAATATTGCCAAATGTGCTTGAGCTCCCTTCCAACGACACTTTTTCCTCTTCCTCTCTCTTCACACTTTCTGTCTCTTCAGTTCATATCACAGGGTATGTCTGATTAAAACGCTACAGCAGCACAGTTTGTTTACCTTTGCGGGAGATACTGCTGCCTGCTTATTTACAATGTCACCTGCAAGTGAGAATAGGCATTCACATCGCACTTTTCTAGCCAGTGTTGCAAGGTATTTACAGGCCAGATATGCTAAACATTCATATGCCCCTTCCTGCTTCGGCCACCATTCCAGAGGACATGCTTTGATGCTGATGATACTCATTTAAAAAAAAATGTGTGAATTAAATTTGGAACTGAACTCCTTGGGGGAGAATTGTATGTCTCCTGTTCTGTTTTACCTGCATTCTGCAATATATTTCATGTTCTAGCAATCTCAGATGATGACTCGGCACATATTGGTTTTAAGAACACTTTCACAGCAGATTTGACAATCGTGAAATGAGCATAATTAAAAATTTAACTCTCAGTGGTGAAATGATAGTTAATTAATATTTATTCAGTGGTTTGAGTTGCACTCTTCCAATATTGTTGATAGAAGGATAATCTTTCTGTAGTCAGAAGTCAGTTTGTCTTGTGTTCTGTATGTTTTTGAATTATAGTGTACTCTTTACTCCTGGGGGAATTCTGCACCACTGCACATGTGCAGAATTCATGTCCTCTGCAGATTTATGTGCTTCCCCACAGAAAAATGCTTTGTCAGGGAAGCTAAGAGAAGCCACAAGAGCAGTCATGCGACCCTGCCCAGCAGTATGTTTTGGGTGCCTAGGGCAACTGGCAGAGAGGTAAATCAATGTGGGTAAGGGTGCGGGACTGGGGAAGATTCGGCTGGTGGCTCCTACCCTGCGCCAGGCTCAGCTGCTAGGTCCAGCTGGGCTCTGGAGGATGGAACTTCCTCTGTCCCTGCACGGCATCCGGGGCTGGGTCAGACCCACCCCCAGATTTTTCTCCCCAGGCTGCAGGAAGCTCTGCAAACTCCCCAACCATCGCTCCTCAGCGGCAGAGATCACTGTATGGGGAGTTGCTCCCCCATCCACCCAACCCCCATGCATCCAGAGCCCCTCATACCCAGACCCTCGTGGTGAGCCTTACCCCCCCCAGCCAAGAACTCCCCCTACACCTGAACCCCCCCCAACGACCTACCCCCACTCTGCTGAGTCCCACTCCCCCAGCATCTGGACCCCCCCACTGAATCCCCCACATCCCCCTGCTGAGTTCTGTTCCCGCCCACACACCCTGATCCTGCCCTGCTGAGCCCCAACCACCTTCACGCGGAGCCGCATTTGCACCCAGAATCACTCAACAAGCCCCTGTGCATCCAGATTGCCTCCCACACCCAGATTGTCCCACACAGAACCCTCTCAATCCACACCTGTATCCTCCCACACTAAGTCCCTCCACACTTGGATCCTGCCAGGCTGAGCCTGCCTGCCCACACCTGGCGTGTAGGGGCAGGGCCCTGGGGTGTTTTGTGGGGCAGGCTCGATCCTTGCGCTGTGTCAGGGTTGGATGCAGTCTCACTGCTGAGCCATGTCCCGTGGGGGAGCTGCAGAGTGACCTCCTACCTCTGTGCAGCCAGTTGCCTGTGCTCCCCAATGCTATACTGGAGCCTCCACATTTATTTGACAAATAAAATTTGCAGAATTTTAAAATATTGTACGCTGAATTATTATATTTTGGCATAGAATTTTTAATTTTTTGGTGCAGAATGCCCTCAGGAGTAACTCTTCAAAATCCCTTCCAATACCACTGTAAGTTGGTAGAATGTTTCGAAGTCATTTTAACCCATTGATTGGGGAGAAATCTTCAGTTATCCCTGGAGTTGTTGTGGATAATGATATAATACTGCCATTTAATGCCTCATGGTGTATTTTTTGTACAAAGAAATTTGTTTAGATTTATAAAATGTGCTTATCAAACATAGGCCTTATTTACAAACAAGTTACACTAATTTAAAAGTAAACTATATGTTGCATAAACCCATTTAAACATTTTTAGGCAAAGTGTTGCTTTCATTTTAACTAAATCTGTTTCTGCATGGTTTAGTGTAAATACTCCAATGTTTGTGTATAGACAAGGCCATAGTTAAGAACACCTACAGAAATAAAATACACAATAGTTGAAAACTAAGCCAAAAGCAGGAGTAATCACTGGAGCTATCTGGCTTTAGATTCAGGAAGACAACTTTACATTTAGAATACCATCTTCACAAACAGGGCTAGATATGTACTTTTTTTAAAAATGAAAATATAAGGTGTGTGTATATACATGCAAACTGCATAGAGTATATTAATAGATATAGCCCATGTCAGTGGACATCACAGATCTTTATGATCTTATTACGAGATGATGATTAAAGACTGTTCTAGGTTAGTGGATTATTGGTTTGTTGTATGTTCTTTTGATGCCAGTTCACAAACTGATTTTTACAATCCCCACTCAACCAAACGTGTTTTGGTTGGAGAAGCTATCAAGCTTGTTATAGGCTCAAAATATAACTCAATTGAAAACATGTATGCCTTGTTTGAAAACATGTCTATGGTGGGTCTAGCTGGGTAAACCATCAATTAAACTAGAATACTGGATTAGCTGGGATGGATACAATGTGAACTTGCCTGTCATGCCATTGCTCTGCCAGCTCTAGTCCAGTGAGCAACCAGATGATTGTAATTGACATAAGTGCTGTTCTCTGAAGCCTGTCCCTTTAAAATACAGGTTATCTATTTTGTATTAATATAAAGTGATTGCTGTCAATAAGACTAGCAAGTGTCTCAAGAAATATTTAACAGAACTGACTTTGCTAATTCTAACAAAATGAAAAGTAACAGCTATTGATTCTTTCACCACCCCCATCATCCCGCCCCTTCGTTTAATGAACTTGGAAAGAGCTTAACATTTAGATGTGATTTCTCATCACATATACATTTTTGAATTTTTTGATGATTGCAATTGGTTTGCCATTTTTAAAGATTTTTTTTTCTGAACATTTAAACAACCTGCTTAGCAACAGGGGTTTTTGTTTGTTTGTTTGTTTTAAATTGTAATCAAGAAAAGTAGATCCAATTTAATTTCTATGTCATTCTTGATAGCTATACTAAAAGAAACAAATCATATTCCCTTTTGAAATTTTGCTTTATATTTAAGCACAATTTCAATTTTAGGAGACCTCCTGTGGTCTCTTCCAACCCTAATCTTCTAAATGAGACCATGCAGATATTTTATTTTAAAATTATACTAAAATCCAAGCTGAGGTTTTAG